CTGAAATGTCTAATACAAATCGTCGTAAAATCTCATACCTCCTCAATTGATTTCAAAACTCCTCGGAATGTCTGTATTAAGATTAATAACATGGCTGCAGTTCTCGGAACTTTTCAGAATTTGTCGAATCTCATCGAAAGTTTGAGAATTTACAGGAACTTCCAAACAGATTTGAGAACTTCCGAAATGTTCTGAGAACCTCTGAGGTGTTCCGAGAACCTCCGAGTAGCTCCAACAATTTATGGGAAGTTTCAAAAATTTCCGAGAAATTCGGAGAAGTTTTGAGAGTTTTTAATAACTTCCGATAATTTCCGAGTACTTCTGAGAAATCCCGTGAATTTCCGAGATAGAGCAATTTCGAAAATATCTAAGAGCTCACGAGAAGTTATGAGAACATCCAAAGAGTTGCGAAAACTTGTGGGATTTTTTTAGATGTTCTGAGAACTTTCGAGAATATCTGGAAAATTTCAGAAAAGTTCTGATAAGTTTTTAGAATTTCCAAGTAGTTCTGAGAACTTCTGAACTTTGGAAGTTCTCGTAAATTTTCAGAATTTCCCAGAACACCAAGGAATTCCTCATAATTTCTCGGTAATACCACAGAGGTAACTCTAAGAGCAGAAGGTCCCGAAGAAACGTGCTCAACTTTTTGGCTCAGCTCTGGTACTATCTTCGGTCCCAAGCTTATCGATGCACTCCTCGAAACATAGATAAATCCATGAACCCCTCATTTTATCTGTCAAATATTCATAGCAAATCAAAACAAACATAGTGTAGTACTAGCACAAACGAAGTGACAGACGACTAACTGGCGAAGAAATCAATTAAAATAATGTGGTTCGCGGTAATAGAATTTTCTAAGAAGCTTTTGCCATCATCCACCAGATGGGATAGTATTTTTGTTTTGATTTGAACATAGTTGGTTTTGTGTGCAATATGATCTTTGATAGTGTGCAAAGAGTGTATCATTTTGTCATTTTTTTATGCATTTCAGTTTAGAGTAGAGTGAAAGAGATAGAACCAAAACATTCTAGTACAATCCATTAGTAGTGTTGCCATGTGGTACAATCCAGTAGTAGTGGTGTTGTCATGTGGTACACTGAAAAATTGCAATAGCAGGTGCGTCACCAAAGTTTTCGAGCTGCTCCGTCTGTCACTTCGTTTGTGGTACTAGAATTTCGATTAGATTTGCTTGGAACCAATAGTTCTCACTACTTGAGCCAATTTATAATCGTTAGTTTCGAATTGATTGTTGGTAATACTCAGCAGTTCATTGAACATCTAGGAAGTTCTTGGAGAGTCACGGGAGTTTTCAGAACTAATCATAACATAACTGATATTCTCAGGACTTCTAGAAACTGAACGGAATTTTCAGAAGTTTACAGAAGATCTCGGACATCTTCGGACATCTTGAAAGTTCTCAGAATTAATCATAACGTAACGAATGTTCTAGGAACAAAACGGATTTTTTTCAGAACTTTCTCGGACATTTTCGGAAATTATTGGAAGTTCTTGTAAGTTCTCGGATATTTAAGAAAGTTCTCAGAACTGCTCGGAAAATCTCAGGTCTACTCGGAAGTTTTCAGAAGTTTTAAAAACTTCTCGGAATATTTTCAGAACATCAACGAAGTTCTCGGAGCTTCACGGATCATCTCAGAAGTTCTCGGAAGTTCATGGAAATCCTGTTTTCAGAATTTCCGAGATGTTCTGAAAATTTACAACAACTTTCGAGAGGTTCCAAAAACTTCTGTAAATTTACGAGAACTTTCGGAAAATTCCGAAAAGTTCTGAAAAGTTCTCGGAACTTCCGAGAAGTTTCGAGAAATTTTGAGAACCTTCGAACATCTCAGAACTTTTTGGAACTTCTGGGAAATTCCCGGTAGATCTTAGAATATTTCTGAACTTCTCGGAAGTTCTTGGAAGTTATAAGAAATTCTAGGGACATCGTTTTTTCCGTTGTTTTGTTTTCCGTCGATCTTGTTGTTCGTACCAATACGAACCGACGCAAGGGAAACAGCTCCCACACCTGGACCCTGCCTATCGACCCATCAACTCATGAACCGGGGACCAACGGCTTTACTTCCCTGTGATCAGAGATTTTATGCTAGGAACACCTCAGCAGTTCTTAGATCATCTCGGTAGTTCTCTGATTTTCTCAGAGCATCGCTGAAGTTCTTAGAACTTCTCGGGAATACTCGGAAATTCATAGATCTTCTCAAAACTTCTCGAAATTTCTGTGAGATCGGGAGTTGTCAGATCTTCTCAGAACATCTTGGAAGCTCGGAAGTTCCGAGAGCTTCTCAGAATTTCACAAAAATTCTCAGAAGTTCTCGGAACTTTTAAAAAATTCTAGAAACATCTACGAAATGCTTAAAACAGAATTTTCAAGAACGTCTGGAATTTCGGAGAACTACTGATTCTTCTTCTTATTCGCATTTCAAGCTTATTGCGTGCTCTCAACTTAGTATTCTTGATTCACTTCCACAGTTCTATGAACTTCGGCAGGAGATTTCTTTTATATGGCTTTCTAAATCTAGGGTAATCCAAAGAGTCAGTTTTGCATTTCCCTGTTTGGATTTCCGTAGACTGAGAAAGCCATATAAAATAAATCTCCATATGTACCAGTCGAAAAATCTAATAAATCACTTCGGCAGAATTTCCCTGAACATTGGTAGGTTTTCCCTGAAGTTCGGTAAAACTTCCCTGAACTTCGTCAGAACTTACCTGAATTTCAACAGAACTTCTCTAAATTTTCGCAGAACTTCCCTGAATTTCGCAAGGACTTTCGGCAAGGCTTCCCTGAACTTCATCAGGACTTCGCTGAAGTTCGACAGGCCTTCCCTGAACTACAGCAAGACTTTCCTTAGCTTTAGCAGTGCTTCCCTGAGTGGAGGCGAACCAGCCCAAGGCTGAAAGCCTCCCTAATAAAGATAAATAATAATAATACTTCCCTGAACTTGGAATCTTTGAATTGAAGTTGTCATTTCAGTAGTAAAATTATTATAACTATACAATAATATTGTGTTTATGAATACGGTCAAAATTTCAATGCTTCTCATTTTCCTAATTTGCAATGTTTGTTGGTATTGGGGTATTTCAAATTTGGGTGTGGTTCGAACGGGTGTAGTTTAAGTATCAACGGAAAAGTATTAACTTTCACCTTAATTGCAAGCTTTCGATGGCTTTACCATTTTTGCATTAGTATGGAAATTACAATCATACTCTTACTATGCCCAGGGAAGTCGAGACATTTTCCAACTTTATAAATTTCTAGACCGGACCGATATCGAACCCAGCCACCTCCAGCATGGTCTTGCTTTGTAGCTGCGCCTGTACCGACTGAGGTAAGAGAGGCTACAAGAGAACTACTGATATGCTACGTGAATTTCCGTAATGTTTCGTGAACGATGCCCTGAGCACTTCCGAGATATTCAGAGATGTTCTGAATGCCTCTGAGAACTTTCGGGGACATCTGAGTTCATCCAAGAAGTTCTGATAAATTCCGAAGAGTTCTGAAAACTTTCGAAAATTTCCGAGAACTTACAAAAATTTCCAAGTCTTTCCGAGAATGTCAGAGATTTTCTGGAAAGTTCTGATAAATTCCGTAAAAAACTCGTAGAATTCTATCCGAATTCTATGAACTCGATAATTTTCGAAAAATTCTGATTGTTCTGATAAGTCCCAAGAACTTTCGAGGTGGTCTGAGAACTTCCGTGACTTCCTAAGAACTTCCGAAAATTTCTATGAACTGCCGAGTATATGCGATAAGTCCCGAGCAGCTTTGAGAACTTCCCTGATTTTCTGAGAAATTTTGTGAATTTCTGACAGCTTCCTAGAATTTCCTATAGCTTCCAAATTTCAGAAGTTCTCTGAACTTTTAAAATCATCTCTTAATTCCTACAAATTCTCTAAAATTTTCGGAAGTTTTAAGACCTCTGCAGATCTTTTTGGAATTGTTCAGATCTTTTCAAAAGTTCTCGGGAATTCACGGAACATCTTAGAAGAGCTCGGAAGTTCTCAGAAAATCTCAGAAGTTCTCTGAACTCCTCTCAGAATTACGCTGAAAAAAATTTTTTTTTTCGAGAAATTCAGAGATTTTATAAGAACTACCGGGAAGCTTCAATAATTTCTGATAAGTTCCGAAAATTTCCAAGAAATTCGGAGAAGTTTTGAAAGTGTTCGAGAACTTCCGACAACTTCTGAGAAATCCCATGAATTTCCAAATTTTGTTCAGAGAGCTTTAGAGATTTTAGGAGAAGTTCTGTGAACTTCCGAGATGTTCTGAGAATTTTCAATAATTTTTGAGAAATTTTGAGAAGTGGATTAAAATTGATGTGCTTCTCGCACCAAGGAGACGTGTTTTCAAGAAGTGTAAGATTCCATTGCTATGTTTCGCGGATTCTCTAATTGTGGTCCTCAGAAGATTTTTTAAAAATAATGTTGTAATTGTTAGATAGCTTATTTTCGGGCAAAGTTGGTTTCCCCAAGTGCATTGCGTCTAGAAAATCATCTCGTGAAGGTTTTGTTCAAAAATATGCATTCTGGAAAAACTTGCTTGTACTCTGCAGTGCATTACTAGAACTGCCATTACATTTCATGCATGAAACATATGCAGAGGATGTAATAAATCCAACCTTTCATTGGAGTTAAGAGAAGTCTGGGCTTACAAATGACTTAAAAGATGTTTTAAAAGAGTGTAAATCGATAAAATGCCAATGTAAACGACATTCGTTTGATGTATAATAACTCGTAAGACCTTCCTCCAGTTTTCCAGTATGATCCTAGATTCCAAATTAATTCGTGTCCTACCGGTATATTAATAGCACCTTTGCCAAATTTTACACCGTCTTGGTAGCACAATATATATATCGGACACCCATTTCCTTCTCGTGCAAACTGCAGATCAAACACAATTCCAATCGGAAAGCCGAAACCTACCTCGCTCTTCAAAGGATGCGATCTAAAATTCAATTATCACCGATCCGGGCTTTGAACCAACTTACCTCCGCACTCAACCGTCGTAACCCCAGCGGCCCCGGAAAGTTCGCCTTTGGCCACCGGATCCTTGCCATTATGTTGCTTCAGCGTCGAGTCCTTCATTTTAATTTGCACTCACTATTGTTGCTGCTCAACACTGTCTCTTGCCACCCTTCAAATTTAAGCCAGCCGGAGCCCTCCGTCTTTCCCAAATTCGAATCAATTAATTAGTGAATGCACTTTTCGGTACACGGCGTTCACGGCGAGCTGCGTCAATAATTAAACGTTAAACAAAACGCGCTCTCGGCGGCAACTTCAAAGCTCCCGGGATTCAGGTTGTCACTCTACTTCAGGAGGTAATGGGACACTACGACGTTGATGGCACTCGCGAACTACAACTAGGATGCATTGTAGCACTATCTCTAGCGGTGCTTGTTAGTCAAGCGAGGATGACGGCGACGATGCCGACCCAGATGTACGGCCTAGGTCGCGGTTTCACGGAGCCACTGCGGAGGACTACCGACTGTGCTATTTTCGAGGAAAGAGGCGTGCACTCGTGTATGCGTGGGTGGGTGTGAGTGTGAGTGCGAGCTGGTCATTGGAGGTGTAAATGACATGCAGGAAACTTCCACTATTTAGCGTGCTAGATCCACCACCGGTGAATGATGGACGGCTGGGGACAGGTATTAGCAGTGGGATTAAATGAGGGAACTAGCAGGGGACCCGTTGGAAGGATGGTGTTTTTGATACGTCATATTTTAGAAACCGCATGATGCAGGAGAAGATTCAATAAGAAAAGTGCCATCAAGCTGTAGCTTAAGGGCCAACCACCATGACAGATATCAAAGAAGCAGCGTGGAAGGGTGACAAACTAGTGTTCAGTGGATATTTTTTAGAAAATGTTTGAGTTAGGGGAATTGATGTAATGTCGGCCTAAGTGTCCCTAATTTGGGCCCATACATAAATTCAGCAATCGACTAAATTTTCAATAGTAACCAAAAATATCCATTAGTACCGTCCCAATGACGCGTTCATCTAGATACAATTGATAAATAGCAGATTTTTAGCGACAGGCCCAATCTAAGCTCCATAGGCCAACATAAGTGCCATTTTCCCTATAAGGGAAAACACATCAATCACAGAATCTGAGCATACCGGACGGTACCTACGTTTATACTTTTTGATGCAAATTGTAAGCCCCTTCTATAAAAAAAAATCAGCAAGGTTTTTTTTTTGGCATTATGCTCTTAATAGGAGGGGCTTAAAATTTGCACCAAACGGCATGAAGATTGGTACCGTCTGGCATGCTCAGTGCTTGATATCAATATTGAGTGACTGTGTTAGGGAAACCACTTTTCCCATCACGGAAACGCCTCGTTTTCTGATGACAAAATTATGCATTTACTTGCACAAAACGCACGGAATTTTTGTTTAACCCTCCGTTACTCGCGCCAACTTTTGTAACAACAAGTACTCGCGCGTTGTACTTTGTACAACAGTGTGAGTTTTTCATTGCCATTTTGCAGCCGAGCTACCAATCGATATGAAATCAACGGGTATTCCTTAAAAAACTTGTTTTTAACTAAACAAGTTAAACTTTTATCACAGTTAAGCCCCAAAAAAATGCGGATAATAGAGAAAATGTGAATGGAAACCGCGTAAACGGTGTCCGTACTACGTGGGATTTGACTTAATTGGTTACATCATGGAAAATCTCGAGATCCTGAACAGATAGAAAGTTACTGTCTTCGGCAAAGTTGTTTAGAAGGTCAAAGCCTTTTCGTTGGTGGAGTAGTTCAGAAAATTATCACTACGCGGCGCTAGTATATACGTGCAATTTTCTCATATACAATAGTTCGAGATTCTGAGCAGATAGAAACTTACTGTCTTCGGCAAACTTTTTCAGGGGGTCAAGTATTTTTGGCTGGTGGAGAGTAGTTCAGAATTTTCTAACTACACGGCGCTAGTATACACGTAAATTTATCATATAAAATTTCTCGAGATCCTGACCAGATAGAAAGTTACTGTCTTAGGCAAAGCTATTCAGGAGATCATAGCCTTTTAGCTGGTCAACAGTAGTTCAGAGTTTTCTCACTTTGCGGCGCTACTATACATTTGAAACTCTTGCATATAAAATATCTCTAGATTCTGACCAGATAGAAAGTAAATGTATTCGGCAAAGTTGTTCAGGAAGTCATAAGATCTTTTCGTTGGTGGGCAGTTGTTCAGAATTTTCTCACTTCTTGGTGCTAGTATACACATGCAATTCTCGCATATATAATTGCTCGAGATCCTGAGCAGATAGAAAGTTACTATTCTCGGCAAACTTGTTCAGGGGGTCAAGACTTTTTGGCTGGTGGCACGTGGCACTAGTAAACGTGTACTATTTTCGCGTATGCTAAGCTCGAGATTCTGAACAGGTAGAAAATTACTGTCTTCGAAAAAGTTGTTCATGAGGTCAATGCCTATTGCTTGGTGCACAATAGTTCAAAATTTTCTCACTACGTAGCGCTAGAATACACGTGAAATTCTCGCATGTGGCTTGTTTCGAGATCCTGACCAGATAGAAAGTTACTGTCTTCGACAAAGTTGTTCAGGAGGTCAAAGCCTTTTTGGCTGGTAAACAGTAGTTAAGAATTTTCTCACCACGTGGCGTTAGTATACATGCATACTTCTCGCATATGCTATATCTCGAGATCCTGATCAGATATAAAGATACTGTCTACGACAAAGCTGTTCAGGAGGTCAAGATATTTTGGCTGGTGAACAGTTGTTCAGAATTTTGTCACAAATTCTAGGCTTTAACCTCCTGAACTACTTTGTTAAAGACAGTAACTTTCTATCTGGTCAGGATCTCGAGACATATCACAGGCGAGAATTTCACATTTCACTAGCGCTACGTAGTGAGAAAATTTAGAACAACTGTCCACGAGCAAAAAATTTGTGATATCCTGAACAACTTTGCCGACGACAGTAATTTTCTATCTGGTCAAGAACTTTAGATATTTTATATGTGAGAATTTCACATGTATACTAGCACCATGAAGTGGGAAAATTCTGAACTACTGTCCACCAGTCAAAATACCTTGACCTCCTGAACAACTTTGTCGTAGACAGTAACTTTCTATCTGATCAGGATCTCGAACTATTGAATATGCAAGAAAGGTACGTGTATACTAGCACCGCATAGTGAGAAAATTTTGAGCTAATTTAACCCAACAAAAAGATCTTGGCTTCCTGAAAAACTATGCAAGAGTTTCACATGTATTGTAGCGCCGTAAAGTGAGAAAACTCTGAACTACTGTCCACCTGCGAAAAAACCTTGACCTCCTGAACAACTATGCCGAAGACAGTGCATTTCTATCTGGTTGGGAACTCGAGATATTTCATATGAGAATTTCACGTGTATACTAGCGCCGCGTACTGAAAATTTTTTGAAATATTGTGCACCAAGAAATAGGCTTTGATCTCATCAAAAACTTTGTCCACGACAGTAATTTTCTATTGAGATATATCACATCCGATAATTTGACATGTATTCTAGCGCTACGTAGTGAGAAAATTCTGAACTACTCTCCACCAGCGGCAAGGCTATGATCTCCTGAACAACTTTGTCCAAGACAGTAACTTTATATCTGGTCAGGATCTCGATATATTCCATGTTGTAATCAATCAAGTTAAATCCCACGTAGTATGGTCACAGTTTACGCAGTTTCCATTTACATTTTCCATATTATCCGCATTTTTAGGTGTTTACTGTAATCAAAGTTTAGCTTGTTTAGATCAAAACAAGTTTCTTGAGGAATACTCGTTGGTTTCAGATCGATTGATAACTCAGCAACAAAATGGCAATGGAAAACTCATGTGTGTTGTACAAAGTACAACAGCGCGAGTAACGGAGGGTTAATTCAATACATAATAAAAAAAAAAGCGAATATGGATTGGAGGAATTTCTTGCTAAAAATTTTCCACTCACGATCAATCATAAAAATTCGAGATTTTTTTGCTTTTTCTAGCTTCCTGGAGTAAACCTTACGAAGTGTCTCTGGTTAATTGACATGGTCATTAGACTGATGCAAAATTTGACATTTTCGCTCCACAGTGCTCAAGCGGTTTCAAATCGGGTCTAGATTAGCCTCCCAAGGGTTTGAACTGATTTGGTAAGAAACTGACTGGGCACAAACCATTTGAAGTTTATATGGAAATTACCATGGCGAAACCAAACTGTTTCTTTGTAGTCTTCTATCCTTCTTCCATATTGCACCGTTAAAAAATTCTATAGCTATTCTTACGGGAAATTTTGTCAGCTACAACTTTGCGCAATATTGATTTTCAGCAATCAAATTAAATAGTTATTAATTGTTTAAGAGATTGATAATCTGTGCTGTGGGCAACACTGTATTCTGCAGTGTGACATAGTAGACATGATGTTTTAGCTCTATTCTACGCGCCAGAAACACCAATGTTGCCTGCTGAGCAGTTGATTGAGCATAATCATAAGACAATAGTGATAATGATTAATAAATTTTGATCCTTGCATTTTATCGAAAAACTGTTTTTAGTATCAATTTTTACAGCAGATTAATAGGGTGAATGATTAGATAGATATGATACAAAATTTGGTTTTCCCATAGTAATTTCCATATAAACTTCAAACACAAACCAGCCAAGTCAGTTTCTTTCTAAATGACTTCAAATTTTGAAAGGCTAATCAGGAACCAAATTGGAACCGTTTGAAGACCGTGGAGCGAAAATTTCAAATTTGGCATCAGTCTAATGGTCATGTGGTATTCTGTCATTGCGAGAATTTGTATGTACCACTTCAACACTGTTACGCATTTGACGATAAACGTTTGGTTGCTGGATACATTATCAAAGAGCTTCGGAGGTGATGTGGCTGGCAGAAAGACGAGCGAACGTTCAATGAAAATGAACTCTGAAACAACAATAATTTATGGTGATCCTAGCAAAAAAAGGACCGTTTTGTCGTAATGCTGAGCTGTTAGGGTGTTCAACACGGATGAGGCTGGCGAGCTGTATATTGTTTGGAGCAAAATTGACGCGCTTGGTATAGATGACCCACAGCTACTCACGAGGATACTGATTCCGATCCATAGAGGTTCGGCTTCTTCCTCCTTCTATGGATACACATGTGGGCTCTGCAGCTCGCTGCTTGCAGGCTGCCTTTCGTTGTGTACTGGAGAACAATGTTCAACGCTACGCGCCGAAAGCACTGCTACACCGACGAGCGGACACCACCACACACGGTGATTGAATGAGCCCCGTCCAATGAAACAGGATCGAATTCGATTTTTAAATCTGTGTTAGGGAAAGCGCTTTTTGCAGGCAATCGGTGATTATTTTGATCACAATTGCAAGAGTTGGACATTTGTGTATTTTTCAATAGTGACCTATTGAAAACTAATAAAGTTTTCATTGGAGCAGATTGATAGATAAATTTCCAATCGTTTGGCTTGTTTAGAATTAAAATCCATTTGCTATTGACAGAATTATATGTGGTCAAAACCGGAACTCCTTTCGTAATGCGGTCGATTTTGTTTTTTGGAATTGTGCCCACAATATGTTGCCGAAAGACGTAATCCTACGTCAAAATATCATTCGAAGCCGTTGAATTACATTGTCCATGATTTTATTATATGCATGTTGTTTAGAAAACCTTTTTGCAAGTTGGATTAGTCAGAAATTTATGCACTGTTATAAACTATGTAAATTGGGTCATTTGGGTGAAACTGTGGTAGCAAAATTGCATGGAGGGATATAACTGGGTGGTGATAAACAACAAGGAAGGAAAATGAAGGAAATTAGGAGCGAATGGAAAATATATTGGAAAAGGTGGGCAGGTGATAACTGGGATAGTCGACCATTGCTCCACAAGTAATCCGGCGTACGTGCGACCAAGGTGAGATTGAGTGAGTTACAGTGTAGGAAAGAGATCATAAGTACAGTGAACGACTTATCCTGTTTGTACAGGTAACAACTCTGTAAAAACTGCTGTAGAGTTGAGAAATTGAATAAATCACAATTTCAGTTACGTTTATGATTCATTCCTGAGAAAATATAGTTTTACTTGATGATTTGACTTTCCCCCTGACGAACGACGGCATAAGAGGGATGGATGGATTGAGATTCGCGTCGGTGGCTCTTGATACCTGGGGAGTCGTGATCGATCCTTTATGGAAAGCGGTAGCTTGAGCAGTGAGAAAATATGTTTAATTACAGTGCGAAGAAGAGTGAGAGAGTCCGGTGACATTTTGGCCGAATCTTGTGAGTTGTACAACAATGGTACAATGACAACGGAGTTCAGTTTGTTCCGAAAACCCTCAATCCACCCAATTGTCTCCAGTGGAGGCTCATTGAAAACTACTGAAAACAGTCATCAAAACGGCAACTCAGATGAAAAATTGGTGGGATAAAATCGTCAAAACAGTGTTGACAGAGACCGTTGTGCGCCACTTGATGGGTTGTATTTAGGGAAAAGATCGAGAATTCCTTCGAAACCGCGACAAATAATTCGTTTCGTATTTTTTGACGTAGAACTACGGCTTTGCCCACTATTACTAAAAAGTTTGATTATTTACTTATTGTCTTGTGGTTTACATTTATTGTACATTTTAGCCCGAAAGCTCTTCATCTTTGGTGATTATGTCTGTAACAAGTTACTGTTTGATTTTAGTTTTACATTGTAATAGTTTACATTTTGCTTTTAAGGAAAGCATATTTGTTGATTTTAGTTAGAAAATTTGATATGCTACCTACTTAACCTAGTTTCCTAAACTAACATGCCAGAACCCTAATGATCTGTTGATCGGATCGCATACAGCAATCTCTGAATCTTTTGATGGTAGCAGTTCTCCGTAACGTTTTTTTTTTTTTATGTTAACATACTCCCTGAACATCAGCTTGCTATCGAGTGTTAGTCCTAGGTAGACTACCTCTTTGGACCACCCCACCACTGTACCGTTTAGGCAGATTTTGTTATTCTCAGACGGAACAAGTCTGGAAGATTTTGAGCGTGAAAAAAATATGACCTGAGTCTTCGCCGCGTTGATACGGATGTTCCAGCTGTTTAAATATTCAGACAGCACATGCAAGCCTCTCTGGAGTTTGGTAGTCAGAACTCCGATGACCCTATCCTTGTAGACGATGGATGTGTCGTGAGCGAACAGAGACAACGATCCACCATCAGGGACAGCCGGAATATCGGAGGTGAATAGATTGAACAGGATGGGCCCAAGGATACTTTCTTGAGGAACACCGGCACCGATGTTAAAGGCATCCGATGTGATGCCATTCAGAGAGACCTGAAACGTCCTGTCCGATATGTAATTTTGTATGATCTTCTTGAGGAAGATCGGAAGACCGTATCGATGCAACTTGTACACCAGGCCATCATGCCAGACATTGTCAAACGCTTTTTCAACGTCTAACAATGCCTGAAACAGCCTTCTTCCGTCTAAGAATGTTTGCTACTCGGGTCAGTTGGTGGACGGTCGATCGACCTTTTCGAAAACCAAACTGCTGCTCGAGTAAGATATGGTTTTCTTCGGCATATGTTAGAAGCCGGCTGTAAATTGCCCTTTTGAACAGCTTGGATAACCCTGAGAGAAGACTGCTGGTTGAGCTTCAGATTCAGGATGTTGACGAAACCTGGGGCCTTCATGTTTTTGAAAGTTTTGATAAAAGCCAACAGTTTGTCAGCCGTGATCTCGGATTCCTCGGGAAAGATGGTAGGAACCTGGTGGAGATTGGTCACATTTTCAGCAACCTCAGCTTTGTGAGGGCTGGTGATGTTTTGTCCAAAATTGTGGGAGCTGACGAAATGTTGACCTATCGCGGCAGCCTTTTCTTCAGGTGTTATCAGGTGAACCACTGAACGTGACTGAACCTTCGGGAAAATTCAGTGGAACCAGCGGTGGAATAGGCCTCGGTTTAGTTTTGAGGACTTTTGTTAGTTCTCAAAAGGAGTTTGCACAATCTGGGAGGGAACGGATGTTATTGGCAAAATTCTCATTTCTGATTTCCACCATTTTGGCTTTGATACGTTTGGTTAGACGGTTGGAATGGGTCTTCAAGGAAGGCAGTCAAGTTCTCTGGTACTGTCTACGCATGGCGTTACGAAGTCTGATTAGGCTTTTAGTATTTTGATCACGGTTCAAAGAATTACACGTGTTGTTCGCGGGCTCGGGATACCGCCTCCTCTACAGCGCACAGAGATCTATCAATGTCATCAGTCGTCTCCAGTAGGGCGCCAAAATCGATGGCTTCGTCGAAGACTTGTTGAAACCGATCCCAGCTTACCCGATGGTAATTCCGACGAGAAGCATGAAATCGATTAACGGAGGAGCCCACGTCGGCCACCACCGGAAAGTGGTCCGAGCTTACCTCTTGGTGGGCTACCGGTTGGGAGATGTTCTCCATGTTGCTGACTCGTTAATTTTGAGCGAGCAAGCGTTCCAGTTTGCGATTTTCATGAGCTCACGGTCCATAACTGAGCATGAAGGTAGCCATAGCTTGGAGCTGGTCGGATTTGTTCTTAATGGTATTGGCAATGTCGTGCATCTTGAGAGATCCTGCGGCTGTGGTGCAGCAGTGGTCTCTTGACCTGAGTTTGCAGGGACTTAGGCAGTTTGAACTTGAGCGGTGGCGGCCGCCGCAGCAGTAACAGCGGCACGAGCAGCAGCCAATCGTTGATTGAGTGGCAGCGGTGGCAACCATGTAATCGGTCATCCTGGTACCGGTGGAAGTTCTGGTTATTAATTTCATGCACTTTCTTGTGGTCGGGCTGGTTTCTCGTCGATGCATTCTTCCGGATCTCGATGTACTCGGTGCGCTTCGGGCAGGCCTTGCTTGTAGGTTTGTGAGGAGCGCGGTGCGATAGTTGGCGCAAATGGGATCGGCTTCATCGAGTCTGCCGCAGGCGTCGGTTTAATGTTGCTTCCCACACTTGGTGCAGCGGCTGGCCATATGGCAAAACTTAGTTCCATGCTCGAACAGCAGGCAGTTCGAGCATTAGGTGACTCCGCGGCTAACTGGTTTGTACCGCTCCCACTTCACCATGATGTTGAACAGGACGCGGATGGTCGTTCAGAATTGTTGAGTTCTTCACAAGGTGAAGCAGGTATAGCTGTTCATGGTACTTGACGGCCTTGTTGTGGCGTGCCATCTTGTGAGTTTGGACCGGCTTCAGTCCATTAGCCACCAGCTCTTTCAAGAGGACGCTAGTGTCCATGTCGTATAGTCCTCGTATAACCACCTTGAGCGGTTAACAGCCTCGATGTCGTGGGAGAAGTACTCCACCTGTGCTTGGTCCAGCATGGTCTGAACCACGTTGTAATGGTTCAACGCAGGAACCATCAATTTGTATCCTTCCGTGCACAGCTGGATTGTGCACTGGACGCCCTTTGTTATGTTGAAGTTTATTTTTCCCGCACTCCGGGAGGGAAGCCTTTCACGTAGAAAAGCGGCATTATGTCCTTTTTCGGCGGTCTTGTTGTTACCGTCACCGGCTCTGCACCGCCCTTCAGAACGGAGAATCGATTGTTGTCAAGCAGCTTCTTCGCAGCTGTCACACTGTCACTATTGTCTTCAGACCTAGAACGTTTCCCGGGATTGCCGGTACTCGCACCACCGCGCGATTTATTACCCATAGCAAGAGCGCCACTACTCAACGCGAGACTAAACGAAATAACTCAATCGAACGAATGAAGCGAGCTAGAGAAAAACGTTGACTGTACTGTTCAACAGTCTGGCAGTGAATTATCATGATACGTCTTTGTCAACTACACTGGGGTGCAAATCAAAAAATATGTGTGGTGAAACAGTGTTAGGTTTTGAACGCTTGTTACTTTGTCATTTATAAATGAAATTAAAATCATAATACGCCAATCGATAGGATATTACATAATTATATTCAATATTCAATTTTCCATATTTTTTTATCTCTGTCTTCATAAAATAAACGTTTTTCCCAGACACAGTCGTCATAATCGAGCACCACTTGGTTGCACATCGTACTATAAAACAGCGCTGCTGTCGTGCCTCTACTCATTACCACTGACGTGGCACTAGGTCATGCAGTAAGCAGTTTAGAGGGGGCTTGGAAATTATCCACGGCCCATACAAATTAAAAAAATGGAATATTGTCTACGCAAGGGGAGGGAAGGAGGTTCTAGAATTCCTGCCAGGGCGAATTCAGTTATCTATGTGAAAAGCAAATAATTTTCAGTTGTGAAAGGCTCAGTGTTTGAAAATTATAACCAATTCAGGAATTTACTGCGTCAAGTATTAGTTGATTCAACAACTGTAGCATTAATAGTATAATTCGGTTATTAGTGTCGATGGTAATTTTGTGGTGAATTTCGAAAATATGCTCATTAAAGTAATAACTTCCAGAAAAATGTATTTTACGAAAGCATTTTTCATGAACTTTGTGCAACGATTGATATAGATTTTAAATACAGATTGTGGGCATCAACATACAGATTTTTTTCAAAATGACATAACATAAATAGGTCCAAACAAAATCCATTACCCTACACCGTGGAAAGTTGAAACGCGTGGAGAAGTTGAAACGGTAGATGTATCACTTAGCGAAAGTGTTCCTACTGACACAGACTAACAGACATACATAATTGAATATTTATCAATGTAAAACATCGTCACTAGACATTACCACCATATATTGCGTACACTGTGGTGGGTAGTACACTGAACAGATGGCGGTAGTGTGTAAACGTCAAGCGGAAGGGAATTGACTATGCGCACAACAGGGGGTGCTACTACCAACTACGATACTTTTAAATTAACCATTAAATGCTTGTTCGATGAACAACTTGCGAGTGTTATGTCTGTTTGTCTGTGGAAATAGTGTCGATGTCGAATTTAGTGCACATTGATCACAGCAAAATAGCTCAACATTTATCAACCTAATGTACCGTATGCGTGATAATGTTTGCACCATCGTACAAATAAGGGTCCCGTTTCACCGGTGCATACAATGCCTTGGTTTTCTTTGCATGCACGTAACCTATAGCTCATACCGTAGAAGCTGTGTATAAAATAAAATTATTTACTTAGTTTGACAGCTGCACCATGACGAAGCGGCAGCGCATTCGTGATTTGTCCCGCGCGCAAATGTTGCAAAAAGACATTTCAATCGCCGTGGGAGTGTCCCGGTGGACCGTCAAAAGGGTTTTAGACCGAGAAAAGAAAGGACAACTATCCGCGAAGGTGGCCACAGGTCGTCCGAGGTCAGCTCGGGTTCCGAGGGAGAAGATTCGGGTGAATCTAGTGCGTTCAATAAGGAAAATGGCAAAGGAACACGGGATGAGTGACTTTAGTGACTTTATTTTCGGGATGAGTGATAGCAATCGAAGATTGCGGGGTGAAGTCGTACGGATAAAAAAACTCACATGATTACCAACCGCATCCGGGAGCTACGAGTCGAACGATTTAAGAAAATCTTGAACTTCCTTAATCGAAAAACATCCGGTAATCCTGTTCATCGACGAGAGCATGTTTACCGTCGATCCCGTATCAAATTCCAGAACCAACCGGTATATTAGCTCTCTTCCGGTAAAAGACGGGGCACAAGAACGTGTATCTGACCAAGCATCCTGCTAGCGTTATGGTGTTTGGATTGTTGGCTTTCGATGGCAAAAAAATGGACCCGGTGTTCATTCCAGAAGGCGACAAGGTCAACACGGAGGTCTACATCGGGATTTTAAGTAAGTATGTTCTTCCGTTGATTAAAGAACAGTACGGTCCGAAGCCAAATGTTGTATTTCAACAAGATGGGGCTCCGTGCCACACCTCGAACCGCACTCAGAAGTGGTTGCAGGAACATCTTCCGTTCTGGGCGAAGGATATGTGGCCGCCATCCAGCCCCGATCTTAATCCACTAGATTACTCAATATAGCGCGTCATGAAGGCCAAGGCCTGTTCTAAACGCCACCGGAGTACAGCAAGCCTCAGACAAACATTGACCCGTACCTGGAGAGAAATGGATCCAGATTACATTATTTATTTATTTATTTGTTGTTTCATCTTTGATAAAAAATAAAAATCGTACAGACTACTTTACCTTAATCCTATTTTTAAAAGTACTTTTGCTAATCACAAAATCGAAATCCTCGTTAGTATCGTTAAAAGCTCGCAGACAAGCGTTGAATGGATTGTTGAAACCGTAACCAGTCCGATGAGCCAGCACAGCGACAAGTTGTGAGCTCCTCAACTGTCGGGGTGGAACGTATAGAGGGACATCCTGTAGTAGTTGAGGACAATCAATGTTGCCACGCAGTAAGTCGAAAATAACTAGTTGCTGAATGTTTGTGCGCCTAGCACGTAAGGTTTCCAAATCAATCAGCATACAGCGTGCAGTGTAGTCAGGCAGATTTAGCGGGTCGTTCCATGGAAGGTTGCGCAGCGCGAATTGAATGAAAACCTTCTGAATTCTTTCGACTCTGATGATCAGCGATGCGTGATAAGGTGTCCAGACAGAGGCCGGGTATTCCAGGATGCTACGTACCAAAGTACAGAACAATGTTTTTTGTGCAAAAATGTCTCTAAACTGCCACGTATAGCGTCGAATGCATCCAAGAACCGTAGAAGTTTTAGCCGTGACAAGAATCTTAACTTTGAGTCAATAGTAACACCAAGATCACAAATTAAGGTAACACGCTCTAATGACACGGATTCAATTGTGTATTGGTGGTTGACGGTGGTGCTCCGACGGGAAAACGATATCACCTTGCATTTTCCTATGTTGACACTCATACCATTTTCTTGGCACCATAGGAGTAGCCCATTTATGTCATTTTGCAGGGCGAGGCAGTCGAGTCGCGATGACTCTGAACATCTTCAGGTCGTCGGCGAACATTTGCTTAAATGAAGAAATCTGAAGGCACAGATCGTTGACGAAAAGGACAAACAGCATTGGGCCGAGCACACTTCCTTGCGGTACTCCCGAAGTAATTGCAAAGGCCTTCGAGCGTGCAGAATTAGCGGCGCCGGTGGTGTAGTGGTAAGCGTGATTACTTCTCACCCCAACAGGCCTGGGTTCAATCCCAGTCGGCGCCGCCGGGATGTTCTGAGGCATAACATCTCTGATCACGCCTTCCTTCGGAAGGGAAGTAAAGCCGTTGGTCCCCGGTTCATGAGTTTGATGGGTCGATAAGTAGGGTCCAGGTGTGGGAGCTGCCTCTCTGGCGTCGGTAGCATTGGTGCTCAGCACGGAAAACAAGATCGACGGAAAACAAATCAAAGGAAAAAAAACTCAATTTTTCGGTAGCGTACACGTGTAGCACTGAGTCAAATGCTTTTGAAAAGTCGATGTAAATGGAGTCCACCTGTCGCCGGGCTTCAACCTCTCGAAACAGAGTATTAGTGTAGCACAGCAAATTTGTAGTAGCAGAGCGGTGCTGGACAAACCCATGTTGGAACTTCGATATTATAGGATGAACCACATTGTACAGATCATTGTGCAAGGTTTCAAAGACCTTGCTAATACAACAGAGAATTGATATTCCACGGTAGTTTTCAGCTCGGTTTCGATTACTCGCTTTATGGATTGGTACAATTGAAGCTGTCTTCCAAACATTGAGAAATGATCTTTCACTCAGCGAACGGTTGAATATGCAGGAGATCGGAGAAGCGAGTGAGCGTGCGCAATATTTGAGCAGAGATGGGGGAATACCATCTACCCCAGGGCCTTTAGAAACATCGAGGTCATTCAAGGCTTTCATAACGTCGTTCGGTGAGAAGCGCAACTTTGGGATATTCAGGTTGTACTCGTGGAAGCGATCGAAACTTCAAGGATTTAGAGGTGGTGAATTTGTGTTGTAGACTGATTGGAAGAAGCTCGCAAACAAGTAAGCAACATCGACAGGGGAGCTAGCAGCGATCCCGTTAAACTCAACTATGTCCGAAATACGATTACCAGACCGTTATGATTTCACGAACTTGCAAAACGCCGATGGGTGCTGCTTCAGATTCCCTGGCGTTCGCTGGACGTACTCCCCATAGCTAGACTGCAACAGTCCGTTGTATCTCGTTTCGATTAATCGGAGACTATTTTTACTCTCGTTGGTTCTGGTACTGAAATAGCATTTGCGCGACTTACGCAATACGTTCCGCAAATTACGTAGTTCAGGGCTCCACCAGGGTTGCACTGAGGTTAACCTCGTAACACGCCTCCGGAGAGGAACTCGCGCATAGAGTGTTTCATACAGATTGTCGTAGAATTGGTCAGCAATAGCGTTGACAGAAACACCATCCAGAATCTGTTGCAAATTGATAGTGGACAGTTCATTATTCAACGAGCCGAAATCGCAGTGCCTGAAATCCAATTCAGGTGGATACGAATCACAGTCCGATATCATGGGCGGATTGCAGTCGGCATCAAGTCGTAAGGTGAATGGCTTATGATGATGATCGATATCCAGTAGAGGGACCGGAGACTCAAGAAGGTTAACGTTATCCGGATCACTGATGAAGGCTAAGTCAAGCAGTCTTCCATTCCAGTTCCTGTTCAGGGGACGCGTTTGATGGTAAATAACCGAATTAGAACCTGCCGTGCATTCCGGAAGCGTGTG